GAGGATGCGGTGTCCGGGAGCGGCCACTGCACTCCAGTCTGGGTGACAGAGTGAGACTCCAACTCAAAAAAAAAAAAGAAATGCAAAGTGATCTCTGGGGTATTTGAAAGTAGCTGCCTCAAGAGAGAGGCTATGGACCCATTTTGTGAAAGATAAAAACTATCAGAACTCACCCAAGGGAAGAAAAAAATGCTAACCTAAACAGCCCTGTATCAAAGGAATTGAAGTTATACTTAAAACTTTTCAGAAGTCTCTAGGCCCACATGGTTTCACTGGTAAATTCTACCAAACCATTCAAGAACTAGCCCCAATTCTATATAATCCTTTCAGAAAAACAGAAAATTCTTATTAACACACTAAGTAAACACCACAGGACCATATCAAGCAGAAAAAAGCAGGTGAAAAATTCAACACTTATTTATAATAAATACTCGTCAAACTAGAACCATGAGGAAATATTAACCAGACAAATGACACCTATAAAAAGCCTACAACTGGCATCATCCTTAAGGTCAAAAAGCTGAATCTTTTTTTCCTAAGTTGCAGGACAAGGCAAGGATGTCTACTTTCCTACTAAACATAATACTGGAAGTTTTAGTCAGTGTAATGAGAAGACACAAATAAATGACATAGATTAGAAAGGAAGAAATAAAACTGCCCCTATACACAAATGATGTTATTTTCTATGTACAAAATCTGAAGAAATCTATTTTTTAAATTTCCTATAACTAACAGTTGAGTTCCACAGGGTAACAAGATACAAGGTCAACACAGAAAAGTCCACTGGATTTCCATATACTAGAAACATCCAACTGGAAATGAAAAAATTGAAATACCATTTAAAATAACTCCAAAAGGGAAACAATTAGGTATAAACTTAACAAACCATGTTTATGTTAAAACTGAAAAATACTCATGAAAGAAATCAAAGAAGATCTCAATAAATGGAAAGAAATATTGTGTTCACAGATTGGAAAACTCGATACCTAGAAGACTCAAGTCTCCCCTAATAGATCTATAGATTTAATGTAATCCCATTCAAAATTCCAGCAGGATTTTTTTTGTAGATATAGACAGATTCTAAAATTTTAATGGAAAGGCAAAGAAACTAGAATAGCCAACATAATTTTGAGAAGGAGTAATAAAGTTGGAGCTCTCACTTTACTCAATTTTAAAACTTACTATAAAATTACAGCAATCTAGGTAAGATATTACTGGAAGAAATAGTCCCATACATGTACGATGAAGTGATTTTTAACAAAGTTGGTAAGACAGTTCAATGGCAAATCAACAGGCTCTCAACAAATGGGGTCAGAACAACTGGATATCCATATGCAAAAAGTGATCCTCAACATAAACCTCACACCTTATTTCTAAAAGCAACTCAAAATGGATCATAGTAAAGTGCAAAACTATAAAAATTTTATGAGAACTGACAGGGGAAGGGTGGGGGCGGGATTGGCAGTGGTGGGAAACTGCCAGGAAGTGGGGGGGAATACCTCATCAACAGGGATATATGCACAATGAACACTTGTATACCTAACCCTGAATTGAACCCCACATATTTAAAATAAAAAAGAGAAAAAGAATTTTTATGACCTGGAGCTAGCCTAAGTATTCTTAGATTTAACACCAAAACCATGATCCATTAAAGTAAAAAATTGATAACTTAGACTTCATTTAAATTGAAAACTTTTGCTGTGCAAAAGACACTGTTAAGACAAGGTACAAACTGAGAAAAAATACTGCAATTCACATAACCAAATAAGGACTTGTATTTAAACATATAAAGAACACTCAAAAGTCAACAATAAGAAAACAAACAATCAGTGCCTGCCTACAGTCCCAGCTACTCAGAAGGCTGATGTGGGGGGACTGCTTGAGTCCAAGAGTTCCAGACCAACCTGGGTAACATAGTGAGACCTTAACTCAAAAAAGAAAGAAATAAAGAAATAAAATCTATTTTTTAAATGGGCAGAATGCTTAAAGAGACACTTTGCCTAATAGACCACTCATAGAGCAAATAAACATGAAAAGATGCCCAATGTTATTAGTCATTAGGGAAACAGAAATTACAATCACAGAGCTATCACTACAAACTTTTTAGAATGGCTTAGAAAGAAAAAAACCAACCAACCTGATAATTTTAAGTGTGACAAGGATGCAGAGGAACTGGGTCTTTCATATGTGGCTGGTAGGATGTTAAACGTTACAACTAACATCGAATATAGTTTGGCAGCTTCTTACGAAGCTAAACACACATTTAGCACAGAACCTAGCAATGTCACTCATAGGGAGTGCTACAAAATCATTTCAGAAGAAATAAAATTTTACATTCCAAAGAAATGGAAAATTATATTCACACAGAAAGCTGTGTGTGAATGTTTATAGCAGTGCTATTTGTAATTGCCAAAAACTGGACATGACCCCATGGATGCTGTTCAGGGAGTGGACTGACCAACTGTAGTTCAGTCATACAATGGAACACTACTCAGCAATAAAAAGGAACCTTGGACATGGGTGAATCTTAGATGCATTATGCTAAGTTGAAGCCAGCTAGGCACAGTGGCTCACGCCTGTAATCCTAGCACTTTGGGAGGCTGAAGTGAGAGGATTGCCTGAGCCCAGGCATTCGAGACCAGCCTGGGCAACTTGGCAAGACCTCGGCTCTACAATACCTCAAAAAATTACCTGGGTGTGGTGGCACACCTGTAGTTCCAGCTACTTGGAAGACTGAGGTAGAAGGAATGCCTGAGCCCAGCAGGTCGAGGTTGTGGTAACCTGAACGTGCCAGTGCACTCCGGCCTGCGCAACAGAGTGAGATTCTGACTCGGAAAAAAAAAAAAAAGAAGCCAAACTCAGAAGGCTACATACTCCTTGATTCCATTTATACAACACTGTGGAGAGGACAAAATTACCGTGAAGAAGAATAGATAAACACTGGGCTGAGGCGGGTAGAGGGTGCGGCTTCAAAGAGCAGCAGGATGTCGTTTTGAAGGAGGTGGAACTGTGCTGTACAGCCTGACTGTGGTAGTGGCTACCGCATACCAAATAATAAGTTGTGTAGTTAAAGTTATGGAACTGTACACCAAAAACATTTATTTTTATTCGACTGTGTAAAGCAACAGGTCAAATGGGAGGAGGTAACTAAAAGAATGAACTTTTTTTTTCTTTTGAGTCAGAGTCTCACTCTGTCACCCAAGTTGGAGTGTAGTGGCACTCTCATGGCCACTGCAGCCTCGACCTGCTGGGCTCAGGCAATCCTTCTGCCTCAGCCTTCCAATTAGCTGGAACTAGGTGTGCGCCACCACGCCCAGCTAATTTTTTGATTTATTGTAGACATGAGGTCTCACCAAGTTGCCCAGGCTGGTCTCAAACCTGTGGGTTCAGGCAATCTTTTTATCTTGGCCTCCCTAAGTGCTAGGATTATAGGCATGAGCCACTGCGCCTGGCCAGAATGAACTTCTTATGGTGGCATTTGGAGCCCCTGTGAGGTCTGATCATGGAAACGGTTAGGGGAGGAGAGGCCTGGTGAAACGTCATAACAACTGCCCCCCCCACACACCCAGGCAAAGAGAAGGCTGGGAACTGTGCTGTGGGCAGAAGGGGGTGAGGTGTGAGGAGGCTGTTGGATGCTCTTCTGGCTTCCCCAGCAAGGCTGTTTCTCAGACAGTGGGAAGGCTACTGAGTGGGCACTGTCAGGAAATGGCTCCCTATCATGGGACCCTCTCACTGTGTGGCCTTCCTCTTCCCCACGACCTCCTGCTCTTTTTCAGCTGGTCACACACAAAAAAAAAACCCTGCAAAATGACTCAGGACAGATGTACTGACAAGAGGGACACAGAGGAAAGCCATGGGGACAACAGGAGCGAGGGACATGACTGTCCATTCCTACAGGATCACTCCTCTGAGCCCTGCAGCATACAGCCTTGCCTACCCTGTAACACACCAACACACACATGCCATCACACACACATACACACAGGCACTGATACACAAAGACATCACACAAAGTCACACACAATCACTCACACACTCCACAGATAGGCACACGCATATACACCCATCACACACACAATCGTGCATTCACACAGACACGTACGCACATAATCACAGGCACCAACACACAGACATGTGCCCATACAATCACACACGGATACACAGATGTACCCACACACAGACACAGACACACACCGGTCATGTTACTCTTGGGCTGTCACCTAATACACAAAGGGGACATATTTACCAGCAAACTGAGGAACCCAGGACAGGACTGTGGACTGCCCCCACCAGGAGCGTCCACTGCCTCTACCTTAGTGGTCCTTGGTGTTGCTGTGTCACTGGGCCTTTGCTGGGGAAGCCCCTTCTCCATACCTCTTGCCTGACCCACCCCATCTCCTCTGCGGCAAGAGAGGCTCCGGCGGGTACAGTTCATTCTTTAAACTCTTGCTGAATCTCCACCAGTCAACAACCATTACTGCTAAGTTCAAAAGTCCCAGAGCTCACACATTTTCAGATCAGGTAAACTTCGGACACACCAAGTCCCGTCAGGCCCTCATGAATCCAGTCCCATGTCCACTGTGAATTTCCCTGCCCTCTGCCCTCTGCCCTCTCCTAGGTCCACAACTTCTAACTCTCAAAGCTGGGTCTCCCCCGGGCCTCAGACACTCACTCTATTAGAATTACTAGAAGCAATTTTTAAAATACTGATACCCGGGTCTCACCCCAAACTAATTGAATCAGAATCTCTATCTGGGGTGAAGCCAGCATCAAGATTTCTAGAAGTTCCGAGTGCTCTGATGTGCAGCCAAGTTCTGCCCAGAGAATGCCCCTGGCTCTGCCCAGATCAGCACCAGTTCCTTTCGCTCCTCTGAGCTCCCACTGTGTGATGATCCCTAGGCAAATATCCCCACATGGGGTCCTTGCCCCTGGGGCCCTACAGCAGGGAAGATAGACAATTCACCTGAAACACACCAAAATATATCATTACAAATTGCGATCAGTCCCATGCCAGAGCCATTCAGGGGACCTGGATAGAGAACACCGGGGTAGGGAGGGGACCTGTTAGGAGTGGGGATCTGGAAGGCCTCTGGCAAGAAGCACTGATCTGAGCAGAAACCCAAAAGATGGAAGGAGTCAGGTGAAGCTTGTTCCAGCATGCACAGAGGCCCTGAGGCCTCCTTTATGGTTCACCCCTCAAACTTGCCCAGACAGGTGGTGGAAGGGGAGAAGGAGCCCCCAACCACCTAGGACTTTGGGTGAAAGATAGTTTCACTAGAATTTTTAAGTGAGCATCTATGGACCACCCCTTTTGAGCCTTTTCCCCCTCACAAAGCACCTGAGTCAGGTGTTTTGCAGGTAGAGACAGAAAAGTTTAGAGGACAAGGAATTCAAAAACGTCTGTATGAGGCAGGGCAGGGATTGGGCCCAGATGTCCCAGATCCAGAGTCCGATTGAGCTCACCTCTGCCTCTGCAGCAGCTGCAAACGTGACAACCACTGTGGTCTCACCTGTCTTAGGTAACGGGGAAGACAGGCGTTTGCCTCATCCCGAGGATCTGAGCAGCTATGATCATGTGATAGCAGGGCCAGACTCCCAAGCGTCTCATGGCTCATCCTGCCCTCCCTGGGAGCCCAGCCTGGGAAGCTGGCTTGGGGATGCACCACCTACGCTTCTGGTGTCACGCTCCGGGTCTGAGGTGAAGTTTTGTTTTGTTATCTGCAAAGTTGGTGGGAGATCTCACTGCTCTGTTGGGTGGGACCAGAGTGGCCCCTGAGTGGGCCTCTGCTGCCTGGTCACTGAGTAGCTTCCTCTGGCACCCGCTCACCACCTTCGGCACTAACATCCCCACCTCTGGTCTGAACCAAATTCTCCCTGCCTGCCATCCCTTCCTGCACAAGACGGGCTTCAAGGTGGCTATGGCATGCCTGGCCCAGGAATTTAGTCTTCGGGTTGGAAGTACGGACAAGTGTCCGCAGGCAAAAGGAAAGGCTTGGAGTCCCCAAAGAGAGACCGGATTTACCCATCCCTTCCTGGGTGTGTGACCGTGAACACGTTACAACCTCCCTGGGCCTCGGTTCGGTGGTCAGCAAAATGGGGATGGCCGCAGTCGCCACCTCACAGAGTTGCTCTGAAAATGAAGTGCCTAGAAGGCGCCCAGCAAGGAGCTGGACAGCATCGGGCTCTCCGTGAGCCAGCGGGGCTTCCTCCTGCCTCCCGCCGTGGTTACTGCTGCCGCTGGCACCGCGGGGTGGTCGGTGGAGCCGTCCACAGGCCAGGCCCCGCACGAGGGCGGCTGTCACTGCCGGAGCCCGTCTGCGGGATGCTGGCTCTGAACGTGGCGATGCCAGTTCTTACCTCAATTTTAAAAAGCAGCTCCTAGCGGTTAACCTGAAGCGGAACCTGGTCAAGTCAGTGAAGCCGGTGGGATTCGAACGAGCACAGCCGGCAAGAAGAGAAAAGCGAAACAGCAAGCTGCCCAGGTGTGAGCGCCACAAGATGCAGTCCCGAGTCCGAGGCCCGGAGCCTCCCGGCCCCCTC